AAGAAAGAAAGAAAGAAAGAAAGAAAGAAAGAAAGAAAGAAAGAAAGAAGGATGTGTTGGGTCTTCTAATGTTGAACCCAACTATGTTGCCATGAACAGTTCCCATCCTCTTCCAAAAATAGATACAACCTTCTCAACTTCATTTTTCTCCCTTTCCTTTTTTGGACCCATTTGCATGGAAGGCCAACATATCTGCTTCTGAAATTCAGTCCTCAGACAGTAATCACCGTTCATAAGCCTAGCACAGATTTTATCCCTAATTTCATGTTATTTAATTTCAAATCGGCCCGTGTTCTTAAAGATATGTAAAATTTCTACTTTTTGAATTCTCAGTTCTTTTTGCTCACTAGGAATGACGGCAGGAGATTCTAGGTTTGGAAAACATCAACTCAGACACCCTGAGACCTTAAGGTTGCTATGACCTCTGGCAACTCTGACTGTGGTCCCAGGCTGATCCAAAAGTTGCCACCAATTTGTAATTTTTAATGAGAAAGAAAGGAAAGGAAAAAAGAAAGAAAATAAAATTATGAAATACCTTGGGAAAAATCACAGAATTATAGTGTCACACAGGTAGAAGGGACCACTTCAGCCATCAGGTCTTAGCGCCTGTTCAATGTATAACATATGAACTCTACTTGGTTAATTTAATTTAATGAAATATAAATGTAAAATAAAATAAAATCTACTTTTTCTCTCTACTTAAACCTGGACCCTGCATAGTTTCTGTTGTGTTGTCTTCAGATGGAAAAAAATTGCATACCTCTGTTTTGAGAGCATTATTTTATCATCATCATCATCATCATCATCATCATCATCATCATCATCATCATCCCTGTATTTGAATAGCTCTTAACTTCACAAGCAGGGTCTGGAAGGGTTTAGCTAGCATGACTACACTGCACCTAAGAGTAGGGACAAAGAGGAGGCTATATAACAGAAAGGTGCTTCAAATCAACAAGCACAGTTCCATTGTAATATAGTCTAAATGAACTTGACAGAGGTGAGTGAATGATGGATTAGCCCCTGAAGTCTAAGATGCAATCAGCCCAAAGACAAACCCATACTAGTTCACCCAGCAGGCAAAAAAGAGTATGTGATCATTTTGTTAGAAATGAAACCAGTTTGGAAGATTTTCCACACCATGACACACCCCGCAAACTTAAAGTTGGCATTACATCAATTATTTAGCTGTCATGCTAAAAAAGAGAGAGAGAGAGAGAGAGAGAGAGAGAAAGTGAGAAAGAGGGAGAAAGAATAAAAGAATTGTTTGATCCATTAAGCATATTCCCTCCAAACGATAGATCCTTGCATTCTTTGGGAGTAGGCTAACTCTATGGTGTTCCATATCTGTACTGTCACCTCTCCAACCATGCACTTCAGACTTTAATACAAGATGACACATCAACATACAATAGAATGCCTTTGGATGTTTGTAAAAACAAGCAGAACAATGGGAACATTTCTCCCAAATGTATTCCTTGGAGTCTTCTTTTCTCCAATAATGGTGGGATATTTTTTCCATTGAAGAAAACAAGAGTTTTCTTCCAAGCATGTAGAATTCCCACCTGCATCTTGAAGTGGTACAAGCTTAGAAAAGAGGAAGTATTTCATTCCTCTGCATGTATAAATAAGCTGCTCCTTAGGGCAGGAGGTAGGCAGCCTGGGGCCCTACTTCTACATGAACTCCTTGGCCTAAATTCATATGGTCCTTGGCTCAGTTTCAAAAGCTCTCTGCAAGTCATTAGTGTAGATTTACGGCAAAATGATCGTTTTCCTGCTGGCTGGAGAGGAAGAGAGGATGAAGATATCCATGCTTTCTTTTGACCCTGGTTCCTCCCAGCAGTGGCTTATCTCCACCTCCCACCTGCCTCCAACAGAACATCTCTTGGAGGATGTGGCCTCCTGGTCTATTGGGTTAGCATATCATGGGCTGAGATTAAAAAGGATTTGAGGAGATGAGATACACTGAGACAAATCTATGTCTCTTCTAGCTGAAAACCAACAGGACTCAAGGAGAAAGGTGGACTTTTCGAAACCTGTCACCTATCTATGTGCCAAAGATAGACTGTTCTCTACCAGCAGTGCAGTTAGCTAATTTAAGAATGGCCTTACCACCCTGTTAACTGATAGTGAGCGTGCAATGAATTGATAGAAATGCATCCATTTTCTAAATATGTTAAACCACTTCTGCTGCATTTGGGAGCCTCTTTGTACATTTCCAGGGAGATAGAAATCTGACCCTGAGGGACCCTCTGCAGTATTATAGGCCCTTCCCCATGCAGACAACCACATACGTGCATTCAGAGATATACTTACGCTGATCTTAGTTGCATCGTTATTGGTTGCCTGAAAAAGGAAAAAAAAAGGGAGGAGAAAAATGAAACGAGGGACTTCTAAAGATCAGGAACAACATTTCTTTCCCTCCCCAACAAGATGGTATGGATAGATTTTCTCAGAATCCTTTGATGTGGTGCTGTAACAAGGTTAAGGGAGACTACCTT